ATTTGGAAAAAAATAGTAATCTGACCCTACCTCATGCAAAAAATGTACTCCTGAGAAAGACCATAAATCTAATAGTTAAACATTAACACTATAAAGCATACTGGACAAAACTACGATATTTTTGCCACTTTGAAGAAAGTAGGAATTTAAGTCATAGAAAACATCAGTTGCAAAAGAAAGAATGACAAATTAGTCTTAAAAAACAAACAAGCAAAAAAGTTTTTATCAAATGGCATTTAAGAAAACTAAAAGGCAAAATGCTAAATGAAAGAAAATATATTGAATGCATATACCCAAAATAAGACTTTCAGTTAAAAAGAGAACTCAATAACTTAAAGAATAGAGGAAGAGTTGAACTGACACTTTAGAAAAGAAATACAAAACAATCTGTAAGTACATAGAAAAGTACTCATTCAACATCACTAGTCTACAGCAAAATGTCAATTGTAACCATAAGGAGACACTGTTTCCTAGCCACTAAATCACTATAAATGAAAAGACAATATCAAATGTTGGAGAGGATAAATAATAACTGGAACTCCCAAACACTGCCAATGGGAAACCTTGACAGTGTCTTTTAAGGTGACCCAAAATTCCACTTGTATTACCCAAGATATAGGTATAAATATATCCACAAAAAGCCTTTTTCAACAATATTTATAGCAACTTCATTCAAGGCACACAACTGGAAACAACTGAAGTATCTATTTAACAGGAGGATAAATCAGGTACATGCGCACAATGGAATCGTACGGCGTGTAAAACACGATCTATAGATTCGACATGGAAGATGAAACTCAAAGACAGGATACAGAATCAAAGGAACCAGCAACGACAGTACATACTGGACAATTCCACTTGCGTCGTTTAAAGACAGAACCACTAATTTATGATGACAAAGAGCAGAATGATGATTCCAAGGGTGAAAAGGAAGAACTCCCTAGAAAGCAGCAGGAGAGAATCTGCTGGGAGATGGAACTGTCCTTTATCTTTATCAGGGTGAATACTGTCAGGGTGAATATTTGTCAGATCTAATTGAACTTTGTACTTAAGATCAGTACATTCTACCTATACAAAACTCCTGTTAGCCGGCACCGTGGCTCAATAGGCTAATCCTCCACCTGCGGCACCGGCACTATGGATTCTAGTCCCGGTTGGGGCATCGGATTCTGTCCCGGTGGCTCCTCGTCCAGTCCAGCTCTCTGCTGTAGCCCGGGAGTGCAGTGGAGGATGGCCCAAGTGCTTGGGCTCTGCACCCGCATGGGAGACCAGGAAAAGTACCTGGCTCCTGGCTTCGGATCAGCCCAGTGCACCTGCCGCAGCGCACCAGCCGCGCTGGCCACTGGGGGATGAACCAACGGCAAAAGGAAGACCTTTCTCTCTGTCTCTCTCTCTCTCACTGTCCACTCTACCTGTCAAAAACAAAACAAAACAAAACAAAAACAAAAAAACTCCTGTTGTATAAAAAATTACTAATATAGCATGACCATAAAGTTTTTAACAAGATTTAATTCATAGTTTTTATCATCCTAATAAAATTATTTGTATTTTAAATTGCACCAAACCCTTCACTCTCTTATTTTCACAATGTATCTTATGAATATATAAGAAAAAATATGTTGACTCAACCCCACTGAGAGTTAACAGTTTTTGCATTCAAATGTTTTATTGGGTCTTTTTCCTTTTTCTGTTTTACTTGTTGCTTTTATTTTTTAATTTTTTATCTTTTTATTTTTAAGACATATTAATATATTAGATTTCAGTCATAGTAAAATAATTACTACAGTTCTTATGTTATTTTGATATTATACAAACAGATCTGATTCAATGTAGGTCATAGATATGTATTAGGCCCTTTATATTGAGTTTACTTTATAAGGACCTGAGAATAATTTTTCCTATTTGTACACAGAACTTATTTTAGCTCTAATTACTGTTAACATCCACTGAAAACACTTTTCGTTCACATATTCAACTAGTACGTTCGTCTCTTTAGCTTTTACCTACCAAGTTTTTTTCTATTTTTCTATTCTCATGTTTGTATAAAGAGGCAGTTTTCTGGAGGAAATGAAAACATATTTTATGTCAATATAATATATGCGATGCCTTTATTTTCTTCCTGACTCCAGTACATCTCAACCTCAAGTAAATCTTCAGGTCAAAGGCAGCTTTCGAAACAGCCTTGGGTTCCGTTCCTTACCAGCTACATGAACTTAGGCTCATTTCATTAAGACCCAGTTTCTTCCTAAATATAGCTTTCACAACAGCTATGTGATAGCTGCAAAAGGTGAGGGGAGGCGGGAGCTGCCCCCCTCACAACTGAGGGAGAGTATTGTCTGTAGATTCTGAAAGAACAGTAATAAAGCCACATGCGAACAATTCTAAAACATGCCAAGGACTGAAACTCCTCTCCATGGGGGCAGACCGTTCCCAATGACCTGATAAATAAATACACAGAGCAGTTCCAGGCAGCAAAAGCTGGCCACCAGCCCTGCAGAGTGAAGGGGCCCATGCACAGTCACACAAGCTCCAGGTGCGTCATTCATTCGGCAGTGGCACAGGAATAGGTGACCTTTATGGGCTGTTTTCTAAATGTGCCTGGTCTCACACTAAAACACATTAATCATTTAATCCTTCCAACTTTCCTACAAACAGATACTCTGTCACTATTGCACAGTCAAGAAAACTGACGGAGGAGAGATTCACTGCCCTTCTCAAGGCCACCAACCGCAAGTGGTGGAGTGGAGGCTTGGGGCAGTGAATCCCAGGACGCCACACTGCTGCATTTGACTCTCGCAGGAGCTTAGCAGGTAACTGGAAAGGGGGCAGGGAAGAGAAGTGGGATTCATGATTTAAAACAATCCATTTGAGAGAATCCGGATGCTTAAGGTGATTCACAATATAAGAAATAAGAAAAATCTAAATTAAAATCAAAAGTCCTACTCCTTAGGAAGGTAAATTACATTCTGATTTCCCTATGTCCAGGAAATACAGACAAGCAGGTTTGTCAAAAACGTTGTGCTCAGCTGACTAGACGTGCCCCACATGTGCATGTACGTGTGCAGGTGCACAGGTGTGTGTCTGGCTCCTCTTGGGCCTGCTCCGAGCAAGTCCAGCACTTCCTGTCCCGTGCAGCAAGCTGTGCTCCCAGGGTCCTTGCTGAGCTGCCATGGAGAAGGAGCCTCCTGAGGGGCCCTGTGAATTTCCCACCCAGTGCTCCTGACAAGCGAAGCAGGAACCCCTGGCCGGGGGTGAGAGGGGAGCAAGCCCTCCAGACAACACCCACACAGCAGAAAGCCCAGCCCAGTGTGTTTTCAAGGCAATGAACTTGCCCCTCAGTCCCAGTGTAAATAAATCAAGAAGTAATTCGATTTTGTGGCACTGAATACGATTCTGCTGTTGCCCTCATTGACCAGCTTTAGACTGAAAACAAAGGTAGCTTATTATTCCCACTCAAAACAGCAGCTTCTTCACTTTGAGCCTTGTGTTCCACATGAGCCCCCAAAGTGCAAGACAGAAAAGCGAGAACATGAAATAATTTCCTTGAGTTCCAGACTATGTGACAACACTCTGCAGTGACAGTGCAGGGGGAACAGAAACAGCTCGGGGGGAGGACGGGACCGGCTGTCGCCACACCCAACGCACATTACCACCAAAACCTACAAAAACTGAACATCAGTGCAAAAATGCGATGTATTAGTATTCAAACTCAATTAATCCACCAGGAAACAGGTTGAATTCTTTACAGACACAGACATACATACACGTGCACACACATGCACAGGAATCTAAGCAAACTAAGCTCCCATTGGATTTTAATAAAAATAAATTCAACCTTCACTGTAGGCCATAAACATGTCATCTTGGGCAATTTATAAGTGAGAGCATGGCAGATATGTGAATTATGCCTTCATGAAGATTTTACTCTTAAATGTTTTCAAGCTCTACGGAAATGCAAGCTAATACTTAGTTTTACATAAAATACCAGTGTCTCTTTAAGACTGATTGAATGCCTTTTATCTTAATAAATACTAACATAATATTTAAATAAATTTGTAAAACCTGTAGAATTCAAAATGGCACTACAAAATGAAATAATATTTATGTTGTATTTATTTTAAAGCACTGGTTATCTTCAAGGTGGACTCATCCTGATAAATTTAAAAAGTGAATGATATCAGTTATTTCAAAATTATTTAATGACTGAAGATTTTTAAGTTGAAAATGTTACATGTTGCAGACCAGGGGCTGGCATTTTTTTTTAGAAAAAGCCAGATAGTAAATATCTTGTCTTGCAGGCCACTGTGAAACCAGTCGATGAATACATAAAGGAATGATGGTGGCTGTATGACAATAAAATTGTGCTTTACGATTTATTTATTTATTTACTTGAAATGGCAGAGTTACCGAGAGAAAGAGAGATCTTACATTCATTGGGTCACTCCCCAGATGGCAGTAACAGCCAGTGCTGGGCCAGACTGAAGCCAGGAGCCAGAGTTTCATCCTGGTCTCTCACATGAGTGGCAGCGGCCCAAGCACTTGGGTCATCTTCCCCTGCTTTCCCAAGTGCATTAGCAGGAAGCTGGATTGGAAGTGGAGCAGTCAGTATACAAACCGGCACCCATACTGGATGCTGGTGTTGCAGGCAGAGGCTTAATCTGATGTGCCACAATGCAGGACCCAATAAAACTTTACTTACAAATCTGTGGGCTGGAGTTGGTCCCTGGGCAATGGTTTGCCAATCCCTGAGCTGGACTGGACTAAATTATTGTATGGAATCAGGTCACTCAAATATACTGGAAACTGAAGCTTCCAACCAAAACCGTAAATAAGCAAACCCTCGTTTCCAACTGTACACTGCTACATTTGGACAATGTTCGCTGGAGTTTTTGGAAAGTATCAATTTTTAATCATGAAACCTAAGATATGAGAGAGTCTTATCTTGCCCAGAGCATGTCCCATGTGTGAATCTGGATGGCTAAAGGGAGGGTTCTACTTACAAGAGGATGCTTCATTTGACCAGGAATGGCTCTAAACAGGCCCAGGGCACCCTAAAAAAGAAAAGAAAACAGTCACTTCTGTCATTCAAGAACACAATTGGTTCACTCAACTTCAAAAGGGTACTGAAAACACCATGCTTTCAGAGACACACAAAACAATAAGGGGAGAGAGAAAGTGTGATGTATCCTCCTCAAATGACACAAAAGAATTTGTGTCTACAGGTTTAAGGGAAATTAATTAAAATGCAATCTTCAGATCAGGAACGGCAACTATTTAAATGCCAAAAAGGAACATAACCTAAAATGAGAAAGAAAAAAAACCAAACAAACCAAAATTGCTGTATAGAAGACCAGAAGAGTGAACCAATTTAAGATGGAATCCATTGAAACAAGACTGTCAGCACTACACACCCATCCACTGGTCAGACCTGAGCCAATGTGCATGGTGGGTCAAGTACATAGTTGTTGTGGACTGCTAACACTGCACATCAGGGTCATTCAGTGACCTCTGACCCCACTGCTAACTGTCCTAGGTAACAAGGACAGCTCTGGTTGACCTCAGGCTGCTGACCCCATCATAGGTGGCAAACTACTGGCTCTAAACTCTCAAAGGTCACTGCTTGGAGACCTTTTGCAGAGCGAGAGAGGGTATGAATAACTACTTCCACTCCCAAAGATTTTACTTCACCTTCTCTGTGAATTTTTTTTTAAAGGTTATCACTCTGAGAATTACCTATCATTTGGAGCAATTCAAGACTAGATCAAGTAGGCCATCTGATAACACTATGTGGCAAAATGCAAAAACAACAATAAAAAGACCAAGAAGTTGCTATGAAATAATTGATCATTTTTCAAAATTTTATTTACTTATTTATTTGGAAAGCAGAGACAGAAAGAACCCAACAAAGATATCCCCAAATGACTGTAATAATTGGCTAGACCAGGCTAAAGCCAGGAGCCAGAAACTCAATCTAGATCTCCTACGTAGTGGCAGGGATCCAATTATTTAAGTCACCATCTACTGCATCCCAGGATGTGCATTAACAGGCAACTGGAATCAAGAGCAGAGCCAGGATTCTAACGAAGCATTTCCACATGGCACATGGGCATCCCAAAGGATGACTTAACTGCAATGCCAAATGTCTCACCTTAATTTTAAGATACTTATGCCAGCATTGTGGTGCAATGGGTAAAGCTACTGCCTGCAAAGCCAGCATCCCATATGGATTCTGATTCAAGATCTAGCTGTTTCACTTCCAATTCAGCTCCGTGCTAATGGCCTGGGAAAGCAGCAGAAGATGGTCCGGGTGCTTGGGCCCCTGCCACCCACATGGGAGGAACTGGATGAAGCTCCTGGCTCTTGGCTTTACCCTATGGCTACTTGGGGAGTGAACCAGCAGATGGAGGACCTCTCTCTTTCTCTCTCTCTCTTACTCTCTCTGACTTTCTTTTTTTTGTCTTTTTTTTTTAACTTTTATTTAATAAATATAAATTTCCAAGGTACAGTTTTTGGATTACAGTGGCTTTTTCCCTCCCTCCCACTCACAACCCTCCCATCTCCCGCTCCCTCTCCCATTCCATTCACATCAAGACTCATTTTCAATTATCTTTATATACAGAAGATCAATTTAGTATATATTAAGTAAAGATTTCAACAGTTTGCACCCACACAGAAAGAAACACAAAGTATAAAGTACTGTTTGAGTACTAGTTATAAAATAAATAAATAAATCTTTAAAAAAAATTAAGATATTTGTATATGACTAAATATGTGAATACCCTTTAAAAATATGATTGAATGCAGAGGATTACTTCTGTAAAAATAGATCTATCCACAGGTACAACTCTTTTTGCTTTGGGCTCATGGTTCTCCCACACCCACCATCCATATGACAAGTCTTTAGCTACAAATACACTAGTCCCAGGGATCTCAGAAAATGTGGATTACAAAGAGGTCCAGGAAACACTCTCACTTCATCTCAAATGCTCTAGTCTTGCAATGTCAGTCTTTTTCTATCAGCTAATCCATAAGTTCTACCCTCCTATTCTTATCTATTTATTTAGTTGTGAGTAACAGAAGAAATACAGCAAACTACATCTAGCTATCAATGAGTCCTGTGAATCCAATTTTGAGGATTAATGTGAAATAAAGTTGCCTGTGCCCATATACATGGGTTTCACATTTGTAGATTCAATCAACTGTGGACAGAAAATACTCAAGAAAAAAATCTGTGATACTGAATGTGTACAGACTTTTTTTTCTTGCCATTATCCTCTAAATAATATAGTTGAAAAAAAAAAAAAACCTACAAAGGTTCTTCAGTGAGTTCATGGAAGATGTGTATTATTTAAAGAAAATGCATTAGGCCGGCGCCGCGGCTCACTAGGCTAATCCTCCCCCTAGCGGCGCCGGCACACCGGATTCTAGTCCCGGCTGGGGCGCCGGATTCTGTCCCGGCTGCCCCTCTTCCAGGCCAGCTCTCTGCTGTGGCCAGGGAGTGCAGTGGAGGATGGCCCAGGTGCTTGGGCCCTGCACCCCATGGGAGACCAGGAAAAGCACCTGGCTCCTGGCTCCTGCCATCGGATCAGCGCGGTGCGCCGGCCGCAGCGCGCTGGCCGCAGCGGCCGTTGGAGGGTGAACCAACGGCAAAGGAAGACCTTTCTCTCTGTCTCTCTCTCTCATTGTCCACTCTGCCTGTCAAAAAAATAAAAAATAAAATAAATAAATAAAGAAAATGCATTGACCATCAATTTTTTGGACCAAAGTAAAGGTATCTTTTAGTCTCATTTTCTATGAGCTTTTTGATGTACCTTCAGGTTTACACAGCATTTGCAATGTAGTGGGTGTTCTTCAGATGAATTCTAGAGATGATTCGAGTATTCAGGGTATTCTATATGGGTTATATGCAAATACTATGCTATCCTGCATAAGGGACTTGAGCACTGGGGGATTTTGGTATCCAGGGGGTTCCTGGAGCCAGCATGACTGTATATAATACTCTCCTTGCTCTTAATTCAAGAGAGATTGGAAGAACACTTTAGATTTGTACCTCTATTTACCCTCAGGAAGAAGGGATTTGGCCTCATGAGTACTGTTTGCTCCTAGCTGGGGTAGAATCTTCCAATCATATTTCATATCTAGATTCACGCCCACAGTCCCTAGGATCTAATATTTCAAAGTATATACTGAATACAAATATAAATATTTCTAAGTGAGCTGAAGTTCCAGGAGGAATAGACAAAACATTTCAAGTCAGGCCAAGTATGGAACAAAAGGTTTTATATTAGAAAACATAAAAATTATTGAGATCTGGTCTCAAGCTTTTTGCCTGCCTGTCTACCTGGATTTTCTCAGGGATGGGATCTCATGGCTTAAGATAACCACACATGTGTTCAAGACCCCCTCATCTCTCTTGTTCACTAAGTGCCAGACAGGTCTATCCAATGACCAACTCAACATCTCTCTCCATGTTCGTGTCATTCACATCTGACACAGACAACTCCTCCCAAACCTGTGCCCACCACACTCCTCTCCACCAGTCGCTGGCACTGTCTTTTGTCCAGCTGCTTTGGCCAGAAACCCTGGAGGTTTCCTCTTTCCATCACACCTTCAGGTCCCTCTTTTCATCATTCCCAAGCTGTCATAAAATCCCACACCCTCCTCACCATCTACGCAGCTATCACTGTGGTCCCAGCCCCTGCACCCATCTTAGTGGGCTCTCGTTCCTGATCCCTCAGCACTGTCGCCCCTCTTCAGTCATCTGAGTACAGGTGACCGTCTGAAAACCTAGGCCATAACATGTCATTCCTCTGTCTAGAATCCCATCACCTTCAAGCAAAATCCAAACGCACAAGGCCCAACGGCCATATCCTCTCTGGTTCCAAGTGAACGCTCTGATTTCACCTACTACAGCAGGACTCCAACCCTTCCCACTCTATAACCATAATGGTGCCCCCATCTCCTGGCTGCTCTGCCAGCACCTTCTACTCTGAGGGCTTCTCCCACTGCCTCAGATCCATGAGCCAGGAAGCTGCAAGGCCCACACCTTGTCTTGACCACATACCTTACTCTAGGGAGGCCTTCCCTGGCTCCATCTCTATTAGTTTTCTATTGCTGTGTGACCAATTCTGCAGTTCATAACATCACCAGTTATTATCTCCCTGTTTCCAAGGACTGATGTCCAGCTATGTCTCAGCTGGCCCCTTTAATCAAAGCTTTGATCAGAGAAGGTACAGTGTTCAGTGCAGGTGCTGGCAGAATTCAGCTCTTCCAGGCTCCAGAATCAGCACCCATATTCCATCTGGGTGTGAACTGAAGCCACAGTCAGATGTAGAGGCTGCACACAGTCCCCACCACATGGCCCCTCAAAGGCCTGCTGGAACACTGCATCTCAAGTTTGCGAGGCCAGCAGGACAAAGTCCACGCCAGGCTGCTGAGGTGGGTTCTTTTAGAAAGTACCCTGATCAAGTAGTGACACCCCACCACCTGCACCACCCTCCACAGCCCACCCACTCCACACCAGGCCCCCCAAGACTCTGCCTACCAGGGTCTCTCTAATCACCTGCAATGCTCTTTTCATCCCCATCCCTGACCACTGTCGCACCAAATATGTCTCGCCTTTCCTTCTGCACTGCCTGCTTCAGCTCCCTGGAACAGTCATGCATGGCTTAATGGCAGGGGTACGCTCTGAGAAGCGTGTTGTTGCGCACTTCCGTCATTGTGCGGACATCACAGAGTACACGTCCACAAGACTAAATGGGCTAAGCCAATCACTACACTTGGCCTCTTACTACCATCCAGAGGTACAGTAAATATGAGGTGCATGAGGCTGCTGCCATGTAACACCGCACACTGCGTTAAAGTTTGTTTTTATTAAGTAGAAGGAATATACTGAAATACCGATAAATAGTATAGTAAAAACATAAATCATCAACAAAGTCACTTATTATCATTATCAAGTACCATGCATAATTATATGTACTATGCTTTTAATCTCAGGTACGGAATAATGCCTGAGTCACAGTACGTTATCAATAGGTAGGGCTGCCTT